GAAGGCTCTTTGTTTGTTTAGCCCGAAGGCTTTTAGCCCGAAGGCTTCTTAACCCTATTCTTGCCGGTCTCTAGCCCGAAGGCTTTTGGCTTAGTTAGCCCGAAGGCTTCTAGCCCGAAGGCTTTTTTGTAAATGCAGTCAAGCGGCACCGAGATGAGCCTCTGCATCTCCTTCTCGTCCTTCACCTCCGCCTGGCCAGCCAGTGCGATCGCCTTGTTCATCCACCTGAGCTGGGTCTGGGTTAGGGGTTTACAGGGTTCAGGGTTTAGGGTGAAGGGTTTAAGCTTTAGGGTTTGAGGGTTTAGGGTTTAGGGTTCAGGGTTTGGAGGCTTCTCGGGCTTAGGCTGCTAGTGGTCCCCGTTCGAAATGGTTTCTTTACTTCTGGTGCTTAATCTTTTAGGAGCTAAGTTTGCTCAAGTCTTCACGATTTACAAGGTCTAAGCTACTCGGGGTTTCTAAGCTGGTGAACTAGAGGACTTTGCGACTCAGCCACGTCGATGGCTTGTCGCTGCTGCTGGTGCTGGCCCGAAGCCTGCTGAAAGCCCGAAGGCTGCTGATGATGTTGCTGGGCTCTGTGGTTGTCTAGCCTTTGTAGTTATGTAAGCTTAAGAAACTTAGGGCTGCAAATTCTTCTAAATTGTTGCGAGCCAAGCAGCCCCGACTTCAGGTAGCTGGACACGTCCCCGTGGGACTCAGACCAGCAGCTCGCCCGGCCCATCTTGTTCGGCGGCGACTTCGGCTCAGCCGGCGGCTCCTNNGGCTCCTCCTTGGCGACGGGCTCAGCTGCTGGCTCCTTCACACTGCCGTCGTCTGCAAAAGGCCGAGGGCCCATGGCCTTTACAGTAGCCTGCTGGCCCTCCCATGCCGCCCGTCTGTAAGCCACTGGCTGCTGAGCCGGTGGCTGCTGAGGCTGAGCCTTCGGCTTCTTCTCGGCCTGCTTCAGCATCTGCAACTCCGCCAGCTGCCTCTTGAGGCCCTTGATCTCCTCGTCGCGGGACTCCAGCATC